AATGAAAAAAAAAAAAACTTATCCAAAAAAAGAAATTAGGACCATTAGGGCCACTGTTTTTATGGCCACAATTCATTTTCCTTTCCATCACTCCAGCAATTTGCAAATCTTCCCTATTTAGGTAAGTTTGACAAGTTGTCAAAAAAAATTAAAAAGTTAAAAAATTATTTAAAAAGTTAAAAAATTATTATTATTCATCAAAAGTAAAAAATTACGACTACACAACTCTCAATCTTAATTTTTTCCTACACATTAATTTATACAATTTTTTAATACACATTTTTTCATAAAAAGTCAAAAAGTTAACCCAAACATTCATATTTTTTTTCTCAATTTTTTAGTCTTAAAAGACAAAAAATATTCTTATTTAAGACACCCCAAACAATCCCTTAAGGGCTGTGTAACTTGGGCCAAGTAAATCTATTCATATTTTTGATAAGCCAATGCTAAATTAATTACATCTTTAACATGTATAGTTATGCAATAAGATGTATTATTTTTTATGTTTATTTCAATATTATCATTATTATTCTTATTATTATTATTATTATTATTATTATTATTTTATAATAACATAGTGTTAATTAAATATTTAAAATTATTTTTCTTATTATTATTATTTTATAATAACACAGTGTCAATTAAATATTTAAAATGTCACTCACACACGCACACAACATACACCCAAAGAATATTAACCTCCCATTCCCATTGATAAGATCTTAACTGGCAATCTTATACCAGAAAATGCTTCTTTACATATAAGCTAAGCTACAAACATATTTTTTAGAATGCACTATTAAAATATATGGGGTCCAGTTAGTTGTAGACTGGGACTGTATTGTACTGTTTAAGTCTGTGTAGTCCAAGATATGTCATATCTTAATAATTTAAACTGTTTAAATTATAATTTTTAGACCATAAATTATACATAAAAAAAATTAGATCGATTTAATAACTATAGCCATACTATCTTAATATATTTGTCTCTCAAAAATTAATTATATAGTTTTCAAATAATATTTGTCATTTATTTTTTACGAATAAATGTCATAAATTAATGTGGTTACAATTATCAATCGACTTGCATTTTTTTTTATAAATAATTTACCCATTGTGATTTAAAAATAAATAATTTAAATTATTGAAACGAGATGTGTGATAAGCATCCAAACAACACAGTCGAGTCAAAGAATCTGACTTTTAAAATATATATGTGATTAGTGTAAAAAAAAAAAAATCATCGTAAAACTCTTAAATTATATGTTAGGATTTTATTAGGGATTTACACAAAATTAGATTATATGTGAAACACATGACATATTTATTGAATTTTTAAGATAATAATGCTCTTATATGGTGATATCATTTGCATTTTGCCATAAAGATAATGGAAACAAAGTGAAAATGTGACAACTAAACAAAGGTAGTGTCCTAAAAAAATCAATAACATATATTATTATCTTAAAAAATAGTAAGTGTGTCATGTGCTTCACATATGATCAATTCTGTTAAATCCATAAACAAAATTCTAACGAAAGATGTTAAGTGTATCAAGATAATAGTTCAAAATGATTAACTATTGCATTTTGAAGTTTAGAGAACTAAAATACAAATGAGTCATAGTTTAAGAGGATTTATTGTAATTTATCTATAATAATAATAATAAATTAAGGGTGTTTCAAGTTTACTTATGGGACATTTATTTATAAATCTCTCTTCACCTACTTATATTTCACTTAGTTCAAATTATTTTTGTTTCAATAAGTTCTATGCATGACATAATTACCAAAATACTCTCACAACAATAAGGTGAAACTCACATTAATGTTCATATTGATAGTGTAAATGGTTCATGATGTGAACATTGATACTGTTAAATTTATTTAATATAAATGTTCACATCACTAAAGTTGCTAAGGGTTAAAAAAATATTTATAAGAGTAAAATTTTTCATAAAATATATTAAATATGAGAATTATGAGTATTTGAAAGAGAATTTTCTAATAAACTCTCATTTACTTGGTGATTTTTTTTTTTTTTTTGGACTTATCTTTGTATTTAGCGATTTTTAAAAAAAAAATTTTAAAAAAATTAGTTCGACGAGGCCAATCAAAAAAATTAAGGTTGTGTTTGGTAAGACTTTCCAAAACTAATTCTACCCTTACATTCTAATCCTATGTTTGGTAAGAGTTTTCAAATCATGATTCCAAATTAATTTCAAAACACATTTAGAAAACATGTTTGTTAAACCAGACATTTTTTGAATTTTTGGATTTTTGGTCTACTCGGTTGTCCGCCCGGTTGAAAGGAACAATACTTTTGTTGTTGTTTTTTTTTTTTTTAAAAATAATTGCCAATCGCTATTTATTATTTGGGAAAAGAAAATTATATTTGTTTTTGATATTTTTTAAATATATAAATTATTTTTTTAGACAAAAATGATAAATTATTTTTTTGAATTGAATTTTAAAAAGAGTTTGGTTATGAATTTTGAATAGAATTTTGAATAGAGTTTTAAGTTGTGTGTTTGGTTATGAGTTATAAGTTTGTTAATTAAGTTTTGAAAACTCTTTTTAAAACTCATAACCAAACAACTTTTTTCATTTCATATGTCACATATAAAATTCAAAACTTGATTCAAAACTCATAATCAAACAAATTTTCTCTTTTTAAATCATAATTCCAAAATTCACAAATTCAAAATACAACTCTATTATCAAATTATATTATTAAAACGCTACCAAACACTACCTACAAAATTTAACAAATAAGCAAAAAGCAGTAAAGCTTTTTTGAGACTTATTTTGGTCTTTTAATTTTTTTTAATTTTCTTTTTTAAGATTTGGCTACACGAGATGAACTGAAAAATTAAAGAGTAAATTACAAATACACTCCTGAGATTTACTTAAATTATAAATTATCTTTTGTGGTTTTAAAAATTACACTATGTCCCCTAAGATAAGTCCTTTCATTAATAAATTATCAAGTAAATTAACAGTTTTTAATAATGTTAAAATTTTATTTTAATTAATAATTCAGATAATTTTATTATTGTATAGGTGAACAGTTAGAAATTTCACTTTTTCAATTAATTCTGTTAAATGAAAAATTCTGACAGGGAGGTATTTGTAATTTTTCAAATCACAAGGGACAATTCGTATTTTAAGTAAACTTCAGAGGGTGTATTTGTAATTTACTCAAAATTTAAAAAATTTAACATAATTTTGAGAAAAAAAAATTGGATAAAGATGAGAAATTCTATTTCTACACACATAATTATCTCAAGACATATCTTTCTCAATACACATACCTATTAATGTGATTATTAGTTAATTTTCTTAATTCACACACTTAAAGTCACATTTACACCCTTCATTTATAACTATTGTACACACACCATTAACTCTCTTTCTACACACTTTTAATTGACCTTACTTCCATATTGACCCACCCACGCCCTTGAAAAAGATTTTGGTCTGAAGTGAATTTTTTTCCATTGAAGACTTGCATAGAAGACCTCCGTTGAACCTCCATTGAAGACCATTATAGATCCTCTAAAATAGTGTTGAAGGTAAGAAATCTTTTACATTAATCATTTTGTTATTGCATTTATCATTTTCGGATCTATATACACTCCATTGACATAAAACTTTCGATTTCGATCTTGCGAGTGATAGTTTGGAGCTTTTAGTATTGGGTTTTTGAAAAAATAGATTTGTATTATTTCGATAAATTACTTCTAAAAAAAATAAAATATTGAGTATTAGTTACCGAATTTAATGAATTTCTTCGGTTTTATATTTATCTGCTCTTAACACTCTCATTGGGTTTATATAAAACAAAATACCTGGAACAAAATTGAGTGAAGAATGTGGAACCATATGTTAATGATCAAAAGCAAACACTGCTATGTACTGGTATTTAAGATTGGTACTCTCTCTCTCTCTCCTCTTTTGGTGGGTAACTTTGATAGAACCCTGGTTGTTGCTTAGTTAAAGATTTTGTGAAAGAAGATATGCTTAATAAGAGTGTTTTTTTTTTTTTGTTGGGTGATTGGATTATTGGGCCACCAGCTCCACTCAAATACCAGTCATTTATATGGGTTCTAAATCAAAATTTGTATTTCTTACCGTGTTTTCAATCACTGAGTAAAATGGAGCAGGGTTTTCGACTAGATCATTTGTTCAAGACTTTCTCCTTGTGTTCTTTATCACTGAACAAAATAGAGCATGGTTTCAACTAGATTGTTTGTTCAAGTAAAGTGACGATAATAAAAAAATTTAGGGTTTAATTTTTTTTAAATTAAAAAGTGTATATTGAAATTTTTTTATTCTTAAAAGATATGTATAGAAATTTTTTTCATATTATATTATGGGGGTTGCTGTATTATATTATGGGGTTACTGGATATCCATTATGGTCATTTTCATTTATGATATATAATTGTCATTAAATTAATATTTTATTAAGGCCTTGTTTGGCAAGTGACTTTTTTAGCCAAAAAGTGACTAAAAAAATTAATAAACCAACAACTCATATTAAAAAGTCAAAAATTCTCTTTTCTCTCTACTTTTTGCACATTTTTTAGTAAAAAGTCAAAAAATTATCCCAAACATACTATTTTTTTAGCTTATATTTTAGTCAAATAGCCAAAAAATTACTAAATTAGTCTGTTCCTAAACGAGCCCTAAGAGTGTGTCTTGAGTTAATTAGATGTATGGAAATAGAATTTTTCGGAAAAGAGGTGGTTATATGAGAATTCCAAACAGCCCCTAAACAGAGAAAAATCAGGGATGCAGCCTCTCTTCCGGTAGAAATACGTTTTCCAAACAAAAACGTACAATTACAGTTACAGAGCCTCCTCCCTCACCTTCTCTCCTTCCTCAACCACTAAACTCTCTCTCTCTCTCTTCCTTTCCTTCCATCAATCCAAACTATTAGGGACAGAACTATATATATACATTTATAACCCAAGAGGAGAGAGAGTGAGAGGAGAGAGAGATTCTTTCTCAAACCTCTCCCTTCTTGGCCCCCTCATTTTTCCAACCCCCCATTTCCAAACTTACACTATTCGACTTTCAAACCCTAAAAAAGATAACAAAGAAAAAGAAGAAGAATTATACAGAGAAAAACAGGTAATAATCCGTCAATGTCCTATTCTTGATATGTATGTATAGATGTCAAATTATCTGTCAATTTCTTTTGACTTGTTCGCTTTAGATTTTCTATTCTCACTTCTTTCTTCACATTCTCTCTCATTTTTTTTTTTTTTATAACGTAGTTTTAGGACTGATCACCACATTTCATTTGTTGATTTTGCTTTTGGTTGTTCATTTTGTGGAGAAATTATTAAGAGCATCGATTTTGTTTCTGGGTTTGCTTTTACATTTGATTATTCTGTCTGTTTCTGATGGATGACAACTTTTTCCGCTATGGTTTGGCGGTGAGAATTTATGGCCCCCTTTTGTTTATTATTATTATTTTTTGGGTGAATTTATTTAATTGTTGAAATTTAAATTATGGGTCTCTCTTATTTTCTTTGAATTTGCATTGTTCTTCGAATTGTTGAGCTGTGGATCTCTGTATGTATTTGCAAATTTATTTAATTCATTAGCTATTATTGTATGAATTCAATAAATTTCATTTGAAATATTGCATTAGATTGATGATTTTCATTTGAGATGTGCATATTTCTAGGATTGCCTTTTATTTTTTATTTTTGGCAACATTACATTTTATTTATACACATGTATATATATACAAAGACATCTACATCAGCATTTATGTTTTAAGTGTTAGAGAGATACATTGTTGTATAGTGTATTAAATGTTTGTAAATCCATTTAATGTCAATTTATTGTCCTTTCATAACAATAATTCTTTTTTGGATCTTGGATTTGTGGAGGGAAAATCAAAGGGTAGTTAAAAAGAAAAGCATTAGCTTCTGCTCCGTTGGATTTTTTCCTTCCTTTTTATTCTCTCTTCCCTTCCCTTTTCTTTTTACCCTCTGCAAAACCAAGGTCCAAACACAAGCCAAGCTAACCTGTATTTCAATCATTTACGTTTGAAGGTGTGCTTGTCAGCATTCTGTATGGGAATCCAGGAGAGAAAATAAAGAAATTATATGTTTTAAGTGAGAAAAGAAAAGAATAGAAGGATTTTGTTTTCTCTCCCTTTTGTTTGGTTAAGTTGGAGAGGGAAAAAAAAAAAAAAAAGAAGAAGAAGAAAAGATTGTAAATTTTCTCTTATCTTGTTTGGATAGACTACATAAATGAAAAGAAAAGAAAAGAAATTATCATGGGTTATATTGCTAAAATAACCTTTTATGTTTTTATTTCTTTAGTATCAAGATGACAATTTGTTATTATAAAAATTTATTAATCACCACATTTCTTTTCTCTCCCAATCTCTCCACTTTTGGAGAGATTCAATAAATGGATTTCAAGAGAAACCATTCTCTACATTTTCTCCCATTTCTCCTCTTAGTAATCCAAACAGGTGATTAGGACAGTGAGAAATCAATTTCTTTTGTTTTCTTTCCAAATCACTTAATTCAAACAGGCTTTTAAAATCTGTGATTCTAAAACGTGTTGGTTCAAAGCACCTAGATATAATAAGGTAGACAAGACCATTGTGCTAAGAAGCACGGATGCATACACACGACACGACACGACACAACAATTTTCAAAAAAGTTTAGGACACGAACTGTGGGAGACACGCTCAAAAGATATAGGTTAATATATTTATTATATGTCATGTCATCTATATGAATATTTCTTTTAAACTATGAAGCACAAATACTTCAAAATGGGAAACATATCCGCATCGGATACTACTCTTTGGATATTTGTAGATACGTATTAGATACTTATTAAAAGTATCGGATACTTTTTAATTATTTTTTCATTAATTTTAGAGCATCGGATACTTAATTTTGAAGTATCAGATACTCCAAATCATGTATTACTCCTAATACTTAATTTAGTTCTTTGATAAGAAGAACATAGTGAGAGTTAAAGTAATAAACTTTGTCAAATTGATGTATCTTTATTTTTTCATGTATGTCCCCTACAACTACATAAAAAGTAAGGAATTAACAAAAGAATATAACAATAATAATGCAATATTTTTACCAGTGCCAAAAGGAAAAGCACAGGGACAAGTTGTGGATTGATTCATTATTGTAATATTAACATATTAGACTTGATATTGAAATGAAATATATGCAAAACTTATTGAAAATTTAAAAAGTAAACAAGCTATTGTCTTAAATTAATACCCATTTCTTAAGAATGTTGCTATTAGCACCTACCTAATATCTTTAGATCCTCCACTTCTTTGAATTCCCACCAATCTAAATGAGTTCCCTTCATTTTCTTTTTGAACCCCACTTTAATTTCAATTGTACCCCTCATTTTTTGAATTCAACTTTTCTTCTGCAATGTTTCCTATCGTCTGCAGTCCCACCCTGCCAACTTCAAGTTCACGACACCACCGTCTTCGATCCAATACTCAAACTCTTCACCGGACTTCCCTTGTTATTCCCCAACCCACTCTTCGTTGTTACCCAATCAAAATCATCCTCAAGCTTCCTTGCCAGTGTCCTCCTCTTCCTAACCCCAACCTCACCAGCACCATCGCCATTTCTTCCTCTCTCTAAACTCTTCAACTCTAGATCTACCTCATCATCATCATCTTCCTCATTGATCACTATCGTGAACCGCCTCCGCAGCTTTGTTGCCATCAGTGTCGGAGATAACAACAAAATAATCTCATATTGCAACCTCAAGCTTCAATTAAAACAAATAACTATATATACATAACAGAGTTTAAATAATTATAGACTTTCTTTTACAGAATCTATTTTCAACTTTTATATATATATACACACACACAGAGAAAATATATACAGATATATACATACATCAATAACAGCTCTAACCTTCCTTTACCTAATTGTAGCCTCCTGCTCCCATTATCCTTATGATCAATCCAAACCCAAAATCAATTCCCCAGTCACCAATCCATATCCAAATCTTCATATCCCCAAACCCAAAGCATGACCTCTTTACTGACTACCGCCAGTGACCTCCTTCACACACACACACACAGACTTGAGTCCTTCAACAGTCAGTAAGGAAGTCATGCTTTGGGTTTGGGGGGTATGCAGATTTGGATTTGAATTGGTGACTGGGGAATTGATTTTGGAATGGGAGCGTGAGGTTACAATTAGGTGAAGGAAGGTTGGAGTTGTTATTGATGTATGTATATACATATATTTTCTCTTTGTGTTTGTATATATATATGTATAAGTTGAAACTAGATTCTGTAAAAGAAAATCTATAATTATTCAAACTCTGTTATATATATATATATATTTATTTGTTTTAATTGAAGCTTGAGGTTGCAATATGAGATTATTTCGTTGTTCTCTCCAGCACCGATGGCGGCGGAGGTGGTTCACGGTGGTGATCGATGAGGAAGATGACAGTGAGGAGGTAGATCTAGAGTTGAAGAGTTCAAAGGGAGGGAGAAATGGCGGTGGTGATGATGAGGTTGAGGTTAGGAAGAGGAGGATGCTAGCAAGGAAGCTTAGGGATGATTTTGATCGGGTAACAACGGAGAGTGGGTTGGGGAAGAGCAAGGGAAGTCTAATGAAAAGTTTAAGTATTGGATCAAAGATGGTGGTGTCGTGAACTTGAAGGCGGCAGGGTGGGATTGCTGACGATAGGAAACATTGTAGAAGAAAAGTTGGATTAAAAAAATGAGGGGTATAATTGAAATTAAAGTGGGGTTCAAAGAGAAAATGAAGGGAACTCATTTAGATGGGCGGGGGTTTAAAGAAGTGGAGGGTCTAAAGAAATTAGGTAGATGCTAATAGCAGCCCTTTTTCTTAAAGGTAGTGCTTTGCATTATAAAATTACAATGTGGTCCCTCAACATTCTTATGTGGAATTCACTACTAATAATTTTTTAAAAAATATAATTTTTACAAATGTATCCTAGCCATACCCGTATCCTATTTTTCTAAGTTTTGTCGTATCACCATATCAATGTCCGTATCGTATCTCGTATCCTTATCAGTGCTTCCTACCCTTTAAAGATAGTAAAAGAAATAGAATATAATACTAATTTCTAAAACTTAAAGGAGAAGGGATTAATAAATATAAATCTACATTGTTTTTCTTTTGATATTGGGTCTCAATTATTTTGTTCAAATTTGCAATGTGTTCTTGTTTGTCTAAACAATAATAGAAACATGTGTTCTCCAAGTGTTCGAAGTGTGTTGAGGTCTATTTTTTTTTTCTTCATAAATTTATAAATAATAGGACATGTGTGGAAATTTGGCTATATGTGTCTTGAAGTGTGCAACGAGTGTTGGTGTCTAACATGGACATGCCACCTTGGTAAAAGTGCCCGTGCTAGCAACTCCAACACTACTCTTTATTTTTCACTAGCTAAAAGTACAAAAAAAGAATTCTCTTTATTTTACCTAACTACTTTTTAATCTATGTGCTCCAACGCTACTCTTTATTTTACCTATTTATCCACACAAATTGTTTAAAGAGCTTCCCAAGGCTCTCCAATTGTAGCTAGCTTGGAATTTTTTTGTTAAAATGGCTAGTGTAGTAGCTAGCCCATTGGAGGAGGTAAAATAAGACGAGGCTAGCTATAATAGCAAGCATGCCTTTTTTAAAGAGCCCATTGGAGATGCTCCGCTAACAGAAATGCCTTTTCAAATTTACATTTTTATTTTGTTGGTCGTAATAAATCATTCACAAGCCTGTTATTGTGAATTCCCTTTTTAAATGAGTTATTTTAGAAGAAAGTAAAATGATAATAGAAACTTTTGCTTTGAAAATTTTGTGATCTGCAAAGAGAAGTGATTGTTGAAATTTATTAGGTCATGACTTATGATGTTATGATGGTGTGCACACTTTAGATATTTTGCTGCAGCATTTAACTCTGCATATTTGATTCGAATAATTCCACAGGCACACGCACCTACTCCTGGTTACTTGCATGGGCAGAAAACAAGTGCTGAGGACAATTTTTGTTTGAAACAGAAACCAAGGAGGATGCGTAGGTGGTTGTGTTGTACTTGTCAAGTAGAAGAGTCCCACCCGTCCACTGACAATGAGCCTTACAAAAGCCCAAGAAACCATGCAGATGGTATGTTAGCTTGACTGTGATTCTTATCTAATGTTGTCTATCGAATAAAGAAGTCGCTTTATGTTAATTGTTTTTGTGTAAGCAGGCAATTAATTTAATGTCATGGTGGGTAAAGGTTGTTTGCTTGCTGGTATGGTTGTCAAATCCTGAATCGAAATGTCAAAATTTTGAATCATGAAATGTATCTAATCGTAAATCGTAATATTCATTTTATTTTTCATGTTTTTTAGTAAAATATATCCACATATATACATATAAAACTGTTTAAAATGTAATTGGAAAAAAAAGAAAAAGAAAAAGAAAAAGAAGCTACCATTCTAACATAATTTTCATACATCTACAATATACTGATGCATTCAATGTTTCTAAGTAGGGTCAGTCCCTTTCTTTTAGAAGACTTCAAAATCTAAAAAATAAGATAAAATACATTATTGAGTTTGACAGTAGAACACACTGTAATTTAATGTGAGTGGGAGATGCAATAATGCAATAATACAAAAATACAAAAAGATGATCATTATATTTTAATAATATTTTAATTGATTAGAATAGCCTACAAATGGGACAAATTTTAGCATATTCTATTATTCTCCATCAAAAGAAGAGAGAGTTAAGTGAAAAAGACATACGAGTATGCCTATCTGCACAGCATTCAACAGCCAAAAAACTTCTCCATCAAAAGAAGAGATAGTTTAGTGAAAAAGACATACGAGTATGTCTATCTGCAAGTGGGGAGGAAGATTGATAATGGATGAAGTTCATTAGGCCAAGTATATTCAAACAATATTGTTTTGCAAGATTGATCAGGTACTTTATGGGGGAAAAGGTGCAATAGTGAAAATTCATTTCATCAAACAACTCGTAATAATCACTGACCAAAAACAAAATAACTTTTATTTTTTATTTAAATTTTTGATACATTTTATCAAACAATTGATAGAGAAAGAAAATGAAACATATCTTTAGCTTTGATTGAAAGTGGATGATATCAGTGGCAAATCACTACACTTGGGTCAAATGACCAACCAATTCTAACTAACAAGGTTCAAAGAACAACTTTCATTACCTCAAAACAAAACCCTTGAATTTCATGGTTGTCTTTCAAGGGTGATTGAAGGTGGGAATCTGGTGGCCGATGTTTGAGGGCTTTGACGACATAGGAGGTCTTCTTGATGCCCTTAGTAGAGCTGCAGACGATGTGGGGATCTCATGCACGCACTTGATGTTGTGGCAGCGAGCCATAGCGAGAGAGGGAACTGCATTGGCGGCGATGGCTTGATCTTGTAGTGCCAGCGACGTCAAATCTTGGTCAGCGTAATGCTTGTTGAGTCTAGAGAGAGGGAAGGATAACTGGAGAAGTCTCTGGAAGAAACGAAATTGAAAAGGGGTGGGGCTGTTCTACTTGGGGTTAGTGTGCTGGGAGGAGGGATTAGAGAGGAGTATTTTAATGTTTATGGAGAACAGGTAGGTTGGGTTGGCTCAGTTTTAAAGTGGGTTGGTGAAGCACCAATTTTCCTAGTCCGCTCTACCCACTCTCTCAACCTGCACAAGTTGGTGCAGTTCAGCTCAGTTTCTGTGGGTCGAGCTGTTTTCTGCACGCCCCTATTAAATGGCAATGATGAATGCATTTGTAGCAAGTTCTATATTGATTTGCTTATCTTCTGTTTTGGGGCTTTTATAGCCTTACACCACCTTACCTTGTGCTCTCATCTGATTATTTGTTTTCTTGATTTCTTCTTATGCTGTGTGCTTCTCCTGTATGTACATTTTAGGGCATAAAAAAGGGGCAAAGGCATCCGCTCCTGTCAAAACTGAAGTTCAAAAGGAAATACCACCTATTGAAGTGCCAGCACTTTCCTTGGATGAGCTGAAAGAAAAAACTGATCTTTTTGGGTCACAGGCATTGATTGGTGAAGGATCCTATGGAAGAGTGTACTACGCAAAATTAAATAATGGAAGAGCTGTGGCTGTTAAAAAGCTTGACATTTCGGCTGAGCCTGAATCAAATAATGAGTTTTTGACTCAGGTGTGTGCACAATCTTTACTAAACGAATATTTGTTCTTTGATTTCCTTGAGTATGCAATTCCCCTATATTTTCATAAATGAATTATTTTTCTATACCCTTGTATTTGATTATACTTGTACTTTTCTTTAGGTTTCCTTGGTTTCAAGACTGAAGCACGAAAATTTTGTTGAGTTGCTTGGTTATTGTGTAGAAGGAAATCTCCGTGTGCTAGCATTCGAGTTTGCAACCATGGGTTCTCTACATGACATTTTGCATGGTATGCATAATAAATGTGTTTTGTGTTTTCCAGTGTCATTAGAATATTTTGAAACACACATTCTGAAACATGGTGTACTTTGTTCTAAAACCATGAATTTAGCAACCTAAAGCGATCCAAAAAAATTTCCCATTATATTTCTTTGAAGGTTTTTTAAGTGGAAAAAATTCAAATACAATGAACTAAAATCTATGGATAGTGGTTTTGGCAAGACGAAACGTAAAAAATGAATCATAATGCTCATAGAAATGCATTACATGATTTCTTTGAAGAAAAAAGCTTTTATTGAATATATATTTCTCAAAACAAAATTGCTCTAGAAGTATCTTAAATTGTTTCACGTACCAAAATGATCCACGTTCCAAGTAACACAAATTCCTTATGCTAATGAGAAGCAATTTCTTAAATTATTTGCATTTTGCAGGTAGAAAAGGAGTCCAAGGAGCGCAACCAGGACCTGTGCTGGACTGGATGCAACGAGTGAGAATTGCTATTGATGCTGCAAGGGGGTTGGAATATTTGCATGAGAAGGTTCAACCTTATACTATACACAGAGATATCCGATCTAGCAATGTGCTTCTATTTGAAGACTTTAAGGCCAAAATTGCAGATTTTAACCTTTCAAATCAGGCTCCTGACATGGCTGCCCGCCTTCATTCTACTCGAGTTTTGGGAACATTTGGTTATCATGCACCAGAGTAATGCTTCTGAAACCCATGTCATATTTAATTATGTGGCAATTTTTTGTTTGGAGCTCTATATGTGTACATGGCTTTATGTTTTGCTTTCATGCTTATGTGGTTTTACTTTCATCTTACATATTTATACACCTAATGTTGTTAGTGGCCATCAGGTAATTGACTCCTACTGATCCAGAGTTTGTTAACAACCCTTTTGCATGATTCTGTTTACTCCCAACTATTCTATGAAGAAACAATATGTCCTTGATATATTTGATTTAAGTTCTTCAGGCCATGGCTTCAATCCTTTTTTGGGAAGTAAAACTCTTAATGCATATTGTTTTGCTTCTAATTTAAACTCTCCCTTTACCGGGTTACTTGGAATTTGAGTTGGTTTGCCAAATCGGACTGGCTATTAGGGACGCACTTAACCCTATTATGCATTTGGGGTAGAGGAGGTTTGATCCCTTGAATGGGGAATTCAAATTGTTTGTGTTTCTAACCAAAGTTGGTGACTTAAAGGATTAATATTAGGAAAAATTGGTGATAAATCCAAAGAGGGGAGCACATGGTGGGGCATTAAGGACATGGTCGGATCTTTTGTGGTCAAGAGGACAAGTTTTTTTTGTTCTTGTTGGGTGAAAAGGACATTTGTGACAGTTTAAGCCTTGCACTTTTTCTATTTGTAGTTTCTCTCCATTCTCAAACACCACCGTCGACCACCGCTGCGTGGCAGCAGCGGTGGTGGACAGATAGGTATGGGTAATATGGTCTTTCATATTGTTTTTGTTCTTTTGGCCCCAAAAGTTTCAGAATTAGACCTTTGGCCCAAGTGCCCTTAATATTATTTGGGTTAGTTCTTAAGAGTACAAGAAATTTTAATTTAAAAATGAAGCTTAAGGTAAGATCTAAAATGCAAGAAAAGGGATGGCTTACATGTTTTAAACCCCTTATCTCCTCTCCTTGCACTGGTATTAAGTCTGTCATATGTATAACAGAGTTCTCTTCAATAAAATAAATACAATTTTTTATTAATTTGGTGACAATCTCGTGTTGCAGATATGCAATGACTGGACAATTGACACAGAAGAGTGATGTGTATAGCTTCGGGGTCGTTCTGCTAGAGCTTATAACAGGCCGCAAACCTGTTGATCACACTATGCCTCGTGGACAACAGAGTCTTGTTACTTGGGTGCGCTTCTCTTTTTGTGCCTGCTTTCTGAACTATCCTCCCATTCTTTCAATTTTTTCTTATTTTTCTTTTTATTTATTTTTTCTGAGTTAGTATTATTTTTAACATGAGATTATTGGTTGAAATTAATGCATTTTGAATTTTAAAAAAAATCTCAATAGGCTACTCCAAGACTAAGTGAAGACAAAGTCAAACAATGTGTAGACCCAAAGCTCAAGGGCGAGTATCCTCCAAAAGGAGTCGCTAAGGTCTCTCTCTCTCTCTCTCTCTCTCTCTCACACGCACACACACACACACACACACACACAGAGGCATGCAAGCATTCGCACGTGCACACACATTCAGATGGAACAACTAAAACGTCTGTTTCATAAAATGAAAATGAAAACGAAAACGATATACTAAACAAGTTTTCATTTCCAATTTTCAAAAGAATGAAAACTAAAACAGAAAACAAGAAATGGAAGTGTTACCAAACGAGATCTAACAATGTGATTATGTTTTCGTGGAGCAGCTGGCTGCTGTGGCAGCATTGTGTGTGCAGTATGAGGCTGAATTCAGGCCAAATATGAGCATTGTAGTGAAGGCTCTCCAACCCCTTCTGAAGTCTGCTCCTGCACCCCCTCTTCCTGGGAATTAAAGTAAATAAATTTTGTTTCTTCCCTATGTGGCAATGGCATTTCGGCATCATTTGGTTTCTTCATTTATGTTTTCGTAGAGCAGCTGGCTGCTGTGGCAGCATTGTGTGTGCAGTATGAGGCTGAGTTCAGGCCAAATATGAGCATTGTAGTGAAGGCTCTCCAACCCCTTCTGAAGTCTGCTCCTGCACCCCCTCTTCCTGGGAATTAAAGTAAATAAAATTTGTTTCTTCCCTATGTGGCAATGGCATTTCGGCATCATCTTCTGCAGAGTTTGGTTTCCTCATTTGTCGATGAATTTTGCCCCTGATTCTATATGCGTATATATATATATATATTCTTTAAACTTCCTTATTTCTTTCTTTTTTTTGTTTGTTTTTTGTTTTTCTTTTTTGGAATTTGAGATTGGATGTGTAGGATTGGATTGCCTGTGGTTTGTTAAATATGTTGCTAATATTGCTTTTAATTGATGGAGTCTTGTGGGTCGGGTTGTGTGGTGGATGTCTTTGCTAGAGTAACTGTTACTTTTCTTCTTTTTCTTTTTTTTGGGATAAATGACATTGACGTCATTTGAGTTTGATGAAAATATATTGAGCCTTACAACTTTGATATAATTATACTGACATCTTTTTTAGTAAGGCCAAAGTGAGCAGAACTAATGCAAAATGAATTGGTGTTTATTCATATAAGTAACAAATTAAAATATCAAGGTTGTTTGTCGTTCATGGATTTGAGTAGGGAAGCGGAAAAGGAAAATGCAAGTGAAATGTACATAAAATATAATTACAATTCATACACTTTCTATATATTTTTTTCTTTTTCCTTTTCCTTTTCAAAGCTTTACAACATAAGAGAATTTAATATAATTATGTCAAACTTAGAGATTCGTTATATTTTTTTCGTACAAGGGAGATTAATATAATTAGTGCTGCTAATAGCTTTACTTTATTACTTAGGACCCTTTTTTAACTTTTTATACACCCGCCTAAAAAATTTAAAATTTATAAAATTCTTTGGACCCCAATATAATGTCCAAATTATCTTTATGTGTAATCAACCCTCTCTAATAACCTGTACACTCCAATCTTTTGGAACGCACCCCTCTCAACAAAACAAAACCCACATTCCCCAACCCACCAACGACAGTCAACTCTTCGCCAAACTAGCGACGGTAGATCCCCTCTCACTAACTGACCGACGATAGTTTCCCTACCTCAACACGATAGTCTATAGTCCCTCTTTTTGGTTAGTCTTCTACCATTAGATTAGCATCTTTTATGTCTACCCTTAGATCTACCCATAGGTTTCTGGACTCGGGCAATTCGGGCTAACCCGAGTTCAAAATACAAAGCTTGGGCCGGGCTTGGGCAGCAATGCTCGGGTTCATGGTCTGGCTTGGGCGGGCTTGAGCACTGCCAAATACAATTCGGGTCGGGCTTGGATAGACCCCCAACCCGACCGAACCCGCCCGAGTTGCACCCCTACTGCTAATAGCTTTTACTTTGTTACTTAGGACCCTTTTTTACTTTTTATACACCCACCTAAAAAATTTAAAATTTATAAAATTCTTTAGACCCCAATATAATATCCATATTATCTTTATGTGTAATCACCCCTCTCTAATAACCTGTACACTCCAGGGCTTTTCCCATATTAAGCCAAATTTCTATCTTAATTCTCAAATTAGGTCTAGTTTGGATGAATTTTCCAAACTAGGCTAAAGCGCTATTACAAATCGTGCTTTCACTGTTTGAAGCAGAAAATTTGATGAATAGTGAAAGCGCTATTTCAAAAAGCGCTTTTAATTAAGAAAACACTATTACAAAAAGCGTTTTCATTGTGCATATGAAAAAAATGCTATTACAAAAAGCACTTTCACTGTGCATATTCAGAAAACGTTTAAAATATATTAAAATGTAATCAAACTTAATCTTGAGTTCTCTGCAGCTCAAATGGTAGTGTATTGGTTTTGCCACACTTCTGTACAGGTTCAAACCACATGCACACCAACTCCAAACAATTGCTATCTAAAATGAAATTCAACCTTTTTTTTTTTCCCCCCTTCCACTCACTCTATATTTTATATATTTATTATGTAATTTTTTTATCAAAAAAAAATGTTTGTTTGGTTAAATATTTTAAAAAATTACAAATAAAAAATTTATTTACTTAAAAAATTAAATAAATAATTTATTTATTTTTAAAGAATTATATAAAGTAGTATACTATTTATACTATCATCACATCACACGTATAAATAGTATACTCACTTAGACGTATTATACGTATCATCACATCGCAGACGTATACTACTTTTTTTTAATTTTTAATAAGTTGTTTATTTTTATTATTACCCATTACTTTTAAAAATATGTTTTAAAAATATTTTAAAAAATTAAAAAAATGTACGCTTTTAATATTTTAGTAACATTTTAAAAGCGTACAATCTTGCTGAAAAAATATTTTAAAAAATTAATAAATACATAAAAATACAAAAAAATGTACTGAAAAAATATTTTTGTATTTTTAGTATTTTTTCAGCAAATTATCATTTTTTTTAGCAAAATGTACTCAAAAAAATATGCACAGTAAAAACGTACTCAAAATTTTTTTTTTCAGCAAAATGTATGCTTTTAAAATGTACTAAAATATTTTAAAAGCGTACATTTTTCAATTTTTTAAAATATTTTAAAAATAAACATAATTTTAAAAGTAATGGGTAATAATAAAAATAAACAATTTATTAAAAATATAAAAAGTAGTATACGTGCGATGTGATGATAGTATAATACGTCTAAGTGAGTATGCTATTTAGACGTGTGATGTGATGATAGTATAAATAGTATACTACTTTATATAATTCTTTAAAAATAAATAAATTATTTATTTAATTTTTTAAGTAAATAAATTTTTTATTTTTAATTTTTTAAAATATTTAACCAAACAAACATTTTTTTTTTGACAAAAAAATTACATAATAAATATATAAAATATAGAGTGAGTGGGGAAGAAAAAAAAAAAAAAGGTTGAATTTCATTTTAGATAGCAATTGTTTGGAGTTGGTGTGCATGTGGTTTGAACCTGTACAGAGGTGTGGCAAAACCCTTGCACTGCCATTTGAGCTACAGAGAACTCAAGATTAATTTTGATTACATTTTAATATATTTTAAACGTTTTCCGAAGGGAAGAGATATGCACAGTGAAAGCGCTTTTTGTAATAGCGTTTTTTTTTCATATGCATAGTGAAAACGTTTTTTGTAATAGCGTTTTCTTAATTAAAAGTGCTTTTTGTAATAGCGCTTTCACTATTCATCAAATTTTTTGCTTCCAATAGTGAAAGCGTGATTTGTAATAGCGCTTTAGCCTAGTTTAAACAATCCATCTAAACTAAACCTAATTTAAAAATTAAGATAGAAATTTAACTTAATATGAGAAAAGCCCCGTACACTCCAATCTTTTGGAACGCACCCCTCTCAACAAAACAAAACCCACATTCTCCAACCCACCAACGACAGTCAACTCTTCCCCAAACTAGGGACGGTAGATCCCCTCTCACTAACTGACCGACGATAGTTTCCCTACCTCAACACGATAGTCTATAGTCCCTCTATTGACAGTATTGTCATTTTCTAAGGAATGTATTTTTGGTTTTACCTTTTTTATATAAAAATTTGTTGTTGGTTGTTTCGAAGACCGGTTATCTTGGATTTTGTTCATTAATGTCAATTAGATTTTGTTCACTAGATTTTGTGAATCTGGTCTAAGAAATGTTCCATACTAGACTATTGAAATATGAATATTTGCCCAAAAACCTTCCGTCAAACTTTTGACCCATGCTCAACAATGTTTTAAAAATTAGACCGGTGAATAAATCGGAAAAGAGATTGGGTGAACGAGTCACCGGTTCAACCGTCGAATTGAATTGCAATCCAACCGTGACATAATAAATATTTTAAAATTATATTTAAATAAAAATATAAGTGATAAAATTATAAATTAAAAAAATTAAATTATCTTAAATATTTCTCCTAATATTTTTTTTACTAAAAAATATAATAATATATTTTAAAATATTATTAATTTTAATTTTGGAAGAGGAAACTAAATATTTAATATTCTCTCAATATGATTTTAATTCAAATAATTTCATTGAAAGAAAGAGGAATTTTTTTTGAGTGATATCAAAATTTCAAGTCTTCCTCCAATAAATTTAATTGAATTTCATATAAATTTATTGAGTTTTTTTGAAAGAATTTTTTTCTTATAAATAGATAAAGACTTTCACAATAATTTCAAGTTTTCAATGAGATTCCTCACAAGAGAAGACCCTTGAAAGAGAATTTATAATTAAAATTTTCTTATATATATATATATATAATAATAATAATAAGAAGAAGAAGAAAGAAAGAAAGAATAAAAAATAGTTAGAAAATATTTTTAAAAAATTCAAAAAATTTAATTTCTTTAACCTGGTCAGTTCACTTGACCCGTCCCTGGGTCATAATAAGAAAGAAAGAATAAAAAAATAGTTAGAAAATATCAAAAAATTCCAAAATTTTTAATTTCTTTAACTCGGCTGATTCGCTTGACCCGTTTCCAGATCATTCGGTTCAACGGAAAAATGTCAGTTTTTCCGATTCTCTCTAAATAGGCCAATTTTTAACTTCGAACGGTTTAGTGGATGTATCCGGACCGAAACCCCGATCGGTCGATGGTTTAACCGGCCGGTCCGATCCGCTTTTCAAAACCATGATGCTCAGAATTATTTGTCCAAACAAACCTATTTTGTTCGACAGGGTTAACCGAACTAGTTCAATTTTTTTCAGAAGTTGTTGGCCGAACAAAATTGAAAATTTTGGTCCTTTTTTTCCCAAACCTTGTTTGTCTTATATTGTTGATGTTTGGAGTTTGTGATAGACCAGATTAGTGCATCCCGACGTCGGCCAATAGCATCTAAGAGACATAATACCCAAGTTCCTAAGCATGTAGGCCGAAGATGACGCAGTCGTAAAACACAGCTTGAGATTGTGGTTGAAGATGACCACCCCACTGAATTAAGTCATCTCA